ACGATCAACCCAGCTAAGAGAATCACGGCCCAGGAAGCTCTGAAGCACCCCTGGGTCTGCGTAAGTCCACAGGAATCAATATTTCACGTGTACCACACTTTTTTTTTTTAATTTGTAAAATCCTCTAAACGGAAACTTTGTGAACATCTGTCCCCCGAGCTGCCAAAACATATCAGCGCCATCTGTTTCTGAACATGCGATCTCAGATGCTCGCTCGGCTTATCCTCAAAAGATTTGTGGAAACAGGAAGGCAAAAGAGCAACTTATCTCGGAGGATAAGCACGTCTATTTGCTCCTCATCAGCTAAAATATCGGCTTAAGGCGCTCTGCTGTGTGCGGCTGAGAGCGGGAGAGGTTTGCAGCGAATTAACATGCAGGGAAAAAAAAAAATCCACGTTTTCCCTGACATTTATTTGAGTGTTTTTAAATGTCAGGCACATTTTAGAAACAGAAATAAGACTCCTCAAAGTCTTCATAGCAGAAACGGTATCGATGCCAGCTCTTAATTAGGTGAACAACCTCGACGAGATCTGCAGATACTCACCATCCCACACACACAGACAAATGTTTAACTCCACTATGAGCTGCTGAAACTATTGTTCTGATGTTCTAAATAAAGAAAACTAAATCACAGGAACACTCGGGAGTTTCCTGACGACCTCGGCGTCATCATCTCTTCGGTTTTTTTAGCCTTTAAAATCTGCAGAAAAGTGAATTTTTAGTAAAGCAGAAGAAGGTAAACTTCTAGTGAGTTTTATATTTTTTTATTTAGGAAAAGCATTCACACATTAGTAATTACACATAATAGCTAAATATTTGCAAGACTCCTCCCTCAAACTTTCAAACATTGGAGCACTTTCTTTGCAGGGGGGGGGGTACGATGCTCGCAGTACATTTTAACAATTCAGATTAAAAAAAAATTAAGATTTTTTCATATTCATGACATTAATGAAATAATAAATGAAGAACACAGGAAGCTTTCACCTTGGAGGGGTAGAGAAAGAAAATAAGAAAATGAGGAAATAACACCCATGTACTCCAATAAGTCAAATACAATCAGGTCTTATAGGTTGAAAGTGAAGAAGAAGTTTAAGTGTCTCAGGGTCTTTTTCACGAGTGAGGATGAGATCGACAGGCGGATTGGCTCGGCGTCTGCAGTAATGCGTGGCGTTGTTCTGAACCGTCGTGGTGAAGAGCGAGCTGATTTAACGCTCGATCTTCATTCCAACCCTCAACCTGTCGTCATGAGCTGTGAGTAGAAACTGAAAGAATGAGATCGAGGATACAAAGTGAATTGAAATGAGTTTCCTCTGGAGGTCGTCTGGGCTCAGGGTTAGAGAGAGGGGGAGGAGCTTAGACATTCAGGGGGAGGAGACCGGGAGCAAGGTGAGGTGTTTCAGGTATCTGATTTGGATCCTCCTGGTTGCCTCCCTTTGGCGGTTTTCCAGGTACGCCCAACTGGGAGGAGACCCTGGGGTAGACAGCGCCGCCGTCTTTACTTCAGGTTTGAACGCCTCCAAAAGCATCCGCAGACTCTCCCTCACACGGCAGGATCTTTAGATACGAGGTCGACGTCTGTCAGGACTCCCTGAATCCGATCTGAATGTTTTTTTAGCTGCCGGCGTTTTGTTTTTTTTCACCTTCAGAGCTTCAGACTCCACACGTTTCTCTCCGACAGCTCCTGCCCACAGAAAGCTGTCAGAGCTCCTCTTCTCATCTTTTATTTTCAGCGTCTCTTTTCTCTCTTGTCTCCTCCGCAGCAACGCTCCACGGTGGCCTCCATGATGCACCGACAGGAGACCGTCGAGTGCCTGAAGAAGTTCAACGCCAGGAGGAAACTTAAGGTGTGAAAAAAACAAAAAAACATCAGACAATTTCTGAACATTAACACGTCCATCCTCTTCAATTGATTCCATATTTTCTCCACTCTCATTTAAATCCTCCTTTCAGACATGAAAATAAAAAAACACTTTATGTTAATGAGTCTGCTTCTGTTCAGACACATTAACAGAACGCGGCGCCGTGAGTTTGGCACCTAACACGAGCAAAGAAGAGACGAGACAGAGAGATGATCATTTAGCTTTTTTATAATCTCAAACAAACAATAAAGCTCTCTTTCTTTAGACACAGAGAGAGAGAGACAGAGAGGGGGAGAGACAGAGAGACAGAGAGAGAGACAGAGAGAGAGAGAGAGACAGAGAGAGAGAGAGAGAGAGAGAGAGAGAGACAGAGGACAGAGAGAGAGAGAGACAGAGAGAGAGAGAGACAGAGAGAGAGACAGAGAGAGAGAGACAGAGAGACAGAGGGAGGGAGAGAGAGAGACAGAGAGAGAGAGACAGAGAGACAGAGAGACAAAGAGAGAGAGAGACAGAGAGACAGAGAGACAGAGAGAGACAGAGAGAGAGAGACAGAAAGAGAGAGAGAGAGAGAGAGGGGGAGAGAGAGAGAGAGAGAGAGACAGAAGAGAGAGAGAGAGACAGAGAGACAGAGAGAGAGACAG